ACAACCACGCCATGCCTGCCCCTTGGAGGGACTTTTTATCCGAGATGCGGCAAACGGTGCTTTTCGTCACGGCGAGATGTGCCTAAAAGGCGTCGTTTCAGATCGAAGAGCTTCTTTTTGCCTCGATCGATGGCCAGGTTCTGAGTCCTGACTGACATGGGCATATGACATATGATAGATACCTTGCCGCCCCGCCCCCCCCCCCCCCCCCTCCCCGGGGGGGCTATTCACGAGGATGACAACTTCTCGACGCATGCCGCGATGGAGGGGGACGGGGAGGACATCTAGAGGGTAAGATTTTGGATGCCGTTGCGATGCGACGACGAACCCCCCCCATCTTCGCTGGGTCACGTGCGGCCGCTTATAATTCATGAATGAGAAAAGTAAATCAACTTCATTGATTCAACATGTCTGTATTATTTTAAAGTTTACAGAGTAGAGAAATCAATGTTCTCATGATAATAATAATTTTTATTTTCATATTTCTATTTCTTAAATATAAAGTATCATAATCTATAACTCCTTCTTTAAAAAAAAAAAAAAAAATATGAGAATAATTTATTATTTTCGAAAAAAATTGATTACTTTCAAACAAGATAGATTGAATTTTTTTTTTATATAAAAAATTATACATTTATATTCTTCTTCTCTTTAGATGAAAGTGATTCACAATTTGTGAATCTCAAATGAAAGTCAAAGTCAGTCTGAGATTTATTTTTAACCTCCAGGCTAGCTAGCGTTGTGGAAGGCAATGGCGGCGGCGCCGAGACCCCATCGTTGACCCGCCGTCTGTTTATTTTTTATTTTATTTCCTTCTTTGCCCGGCTCTAGCAGGCTACTAACTACTAGTTACCCACAAGAAGTGTTTGATTGCGAGCAGGAGAGGTACATGTATAGTTGACACTGCAACGGATGAAATAAGGGAAATTATTGAAATATGAATGTCATGAAGGACTTTATCATCATTTCTATTTTAAGAGGCAGTGAGAGAATAAATATTTATAGATTTCAAGAGTTATACATGTATATTTCTACTTTGAGGAACCGACCAACCATCATCTGTTATGAACAAAGCAGTGGCAAAAAGAGAAAAGAGACTCGTAAGATAGTTGATTCTATTAAGTTCTTAAAATATGCAAGATCTTATCTATTGTGTATGATGACGCATAGAGGCGCATACTACGGAGTATACTTACTTGCATAGTGAAATGTTAACACAATCTACCTCAGTTCAGAGTAGAACCAGACAGACAGACTCCTTGTTTATGTTTATAAGTTAATAACTTAACTCCCCCTTTCTTTTTTCCTGAAATATTTAAAATGGGCTAATTATGGAAAAGGAAATATTTTCCAAATATTCCTCTTTTCTCCGTAGAAGATGACACAATGGCTCTATACTGCACACACAGCTTTCCCACAGTCTGCAGACACTGAATATTTGTTTTCACTGGTAGTTAGGCAATGACTTGGGAACTCACACAGTCACATATCTGGATTTTGTGGGGAGAAGCTGTGAGTGCCATGATCACAATCAAAAACTGCTCTCTTGAGAATTGCATCCTAAGAATAAATCGGCTGCAGCAAGGTATCAGATATTAATGAGCATGTTTCCCTCTCAAAGGTGACATAGACAACTACTATTTAGCTTTACGATGACATAAATAGCTGCCGACGGGAACCTGTGCTCTCGGCACCGGAGGGCTCCGCCGTTTCCAGACCAGACCACAAGGATGAGGCGAGAAACCGCCACAATTCTAATTTATGAATGAGGAGAACTAGTTAACATCGGGCGCCACAGCCAGTGAGGACCCACCGAGAAAAAACCTTCAACGCCGAGCATTATATTAGTAACAATGGGGAACTTCTGAGTCCCAGCCCTTGCTCGGGAAAGGAAATTCCGCCACTGAGCCCTTCCCAGTCTAAAAACATGGTAATCGAGAATTTAGGGCTGGCCTAGCGTACTCTCGCTCTCCTCTTCCGTAAATCCCGGTGGGTGGGAGAAAATAAATAGAAAAATTGAGAGAAAGGATAATCAACACGAAACCGACTTATCGGTATGAGTTTATTTTTATGAACGTTTACCAGGGATTGAGTGATTGGCCCGCCAAAAGTTGTAACGAGATTGGGGATATCGGCCTAGTTCATGAAACGAATTCCTGAAGCCCCTGGTGTTGATGGGGGATTCAATGAACAAAATAGCGGCCATCTTAATGTCCAAGATGGCCAACAAGGGGAATCATCCCCCCCTCCCCCGGCTCAATCGGTTTCAACAGCATCTGGCGAAAAACAGATAGGCGATGTTGAGATGGACGAAAAAGTAAAAGGAGAAGGGAATATCGGAAAGGGGTTCATCGAGACCGAAAATATACTCTCAACCTTAGGAGCCACTGATGACAAGAATATAAGGGATATCGAAAAATACCCAAACAGGAAATCAAATTCATCCCTAGCCCTAGAGGAGAACGGCGATGGCCCAGGTTCACAACTACCCGGAGCGGACGGCTTATCGAGAGATCTTGAGGGAAATATATACCCCGAAGGCGGGGTAGAGGCATATCTTGTCGTTTTTGGATCCTTCATGGCTCTCTTCGGCACTCTGGGTCTTTCGAATTCGTTAGGATCATTTCTAGCATGGATAAGTACGCATCAGCTAAAGGAGTATAGCCAGCGCAGCATCAGCTGGATATTCGGCATCTATGCGTTCCTCATGTTCTTTGGTGGTCTCCAAATCGGCCCAATCTTCGATGCCAAAGGTCCTCGATTTCTCGTCCTTGCAGGCGCCGTCATGGTAATGCTCAGCATTTCCCTGGTCGGATTTTGCGAGGAATATTGGCATTTCATGGTTGTATGGGGGGTTATTGGTGGAATTGCTGTGTCTCTGATCTTCACCCCGGCCTTCGCTAGCCCAGGCCACTTCTTCTACCGTTTAAGGGGCAGAGCAACGGGAATTGCCGCAACAGGAGGGAGCGTTGGTGGCATTGTGTACCCATTAATGATGCAGGATCTGTTACCCAAAGTGGGTTTTGCATGGGCGACTCGCGCTATGGCTTTGGTTACGCTTGTCTCAGTAACAATCGGGTGCATACTGATCAAGTCGAGGTTGCCAAAGAAAAAGGCAACGAAGGAAAATATACTTCCCGACTTCCGGATCTTATGGGAACCACAATTTGCACTGACGACGCTTGGAATATTCTTCATAGAATGGGGCCTTTTTATCCCGATCACGTATATCCCCGCTTATGCTCTTTCTCACGGCATGTCGGAAAAGTTCTCGTACCAGGTGCTTGCTATCCTTAATGTCGGATCCTGTTTCGGAAGATGGATCCCAGGGTTCACTGCAGATTACATGGGAAGGTTCAACACTATGATCGCGACAGTGGCGATTTGCTTCTTATCCTGCGCTTGCCTATGGTTGCCGGCTGGTGATAGCGTTGCAATGTTAGTAGTATATGCGTTGGTATTTGGATTCGGAAGCGGGAGCAACATCAGCTTGACGCCTGTTTGCATCGGCGAATGCTGTAAAACAGAAGACTATGGGCGATATTATGCAACAGCTTATACCGTTGTTAGTCTTGGGTACGTTCCTCTGGCGGTTTTTCTGGTATCATGCAAACTCAGGTCCAATTCGATGCTAACCAGTTCTCCTCCCAGAACCTTGACGGGCACTCCAATCGCAGGAGCGATTCTTACCAGCAATGGCGGCAATTACTGGGGTCTCATTACATTTACCACCGTCTGCTATTTTGCGGGATTGGTTTGCTTTGTCGCCGCGAAAGTTGTTCGGCATGGACGGACTCTGTGCGGGTGATCTATTAAATGAGAGTATGGGGTGTGCATTGGGATATCAAGTCAAGATACACCGAATCGGGTTAGCAACCCTGAAACACTTGGACAAAGTGGTCGAAATAAATAGAAAATTTAGACAACCTAATGCACACTCATCGTGAATAATGATTCCCTAATCGCATGGATTCATCAGTCAAATGACCATATAGCAACCCATCATCCAATGTGAAGAAGTAAACATAATTTCGGTCGGCACAAAGCAGCCCAAGTCTTGACCATTGTGAGTTCCCTGCTGTCCAGTTAGAGCTCGCAGTAAACGTGGCAGTTCAAGGCGAAAAAGGAAGCGTAACATTGGAGGCGAGGCCGGTTGACAAAAAAAGAAAAAAACAGGAAGGCAGGTTGGGGTTGGATTTTTCTACATCTGCATTGCCTACGAGATATCAACTGAGACATCGTTTAATTCTAGCCCTTTTGAATATGCAGGCAGGTTGCTTCCAAAAGGTCAAGAGATATCCACACTTGACAAGTCACCAATCCTAAAATCAAGTCGTGGAGAACTAAGCTCTAAATAAGTGGCGGACGGGGATGTACACCTTGATGCGACGAGCGCAAAATCTCATCAATTACATTCCCCTCAGCATCATAGCTTCCAGTAATTAGAACACTAATAAAATGTGTCTCAGGATGCCAGGAATGACCGCGCCCAGTACAACCGACTTTGTTCGCGTCAAAAAAGAAGATTGAGTCACTCGAGGTGCCATGCCATGAGGGAGGGCAGGCGTAAAATTGTTGCCTCATTGGGATGGTACCTCGTTCGCCTTCCTCGTGATGTTGTAGGCAGGTCTCAGTGCATTCACGATTCGACTTAAAAATATAAATAAATTTATCAATAAATAAAATGACAAAAAGCGTTGGAAATGGAAGTTGGCGAATTGCTCGTCGGAGAGTTTGTCCCAAAAAATGTGGAGCAACATTTCTGCGCCATGCGAGAAGGGATAACTTACGTCCGACATAAAAATGGCAGACATCAAAAATTCGTTTATGCACACCGTTCTCCGATGATACTCATACATTCCACGGGTATTTGAATGGATACAAGATCCTGAAAACTGCCAATAGTGTGGCCAACGATTATGGCTTGACTATCGCCCAAGCCAGGCTGTTGTTCTTTTTAGAGCCTGAGGAAAGTCTGTACTATACTCGTATACCGATCTTAGATTTCCTTGCCCCAACGCCTCCATCCGAAATAATAAAACGATCTAGGGCAATCATACACTTCCACTTTGCCTTGGAAGTAGGAATACTGAAGGCATCGGTCAAAGTGTTCTAGCTGAAAGGGTGGTTGGGGGGGTTACGGCTCTACCCCCCTCGGCAATCTCAACGGAAATGGAAAGCGGTTGATCCAAGGTTTCTTGGAGCCTTTCTGCCGTAGAAATCGGGGAGAAAAAGGTCGGATAGTTTGGCAAGTTTGGCGTCATCAGGTTGCCTTGGAGTCTGTGAGTGGACTATGACGCAACTTGTGGCTTTTGGCATGAGTGAAACCAGGCCAATTATGGCGATCGCTGTCACATCTGAACATCACCCACCATACGCAGTTATGCATAGTTAATTAAACCTTAGGGCGAAATCGAGGCAGCCCTAAGCTAAACTGGAACGGTGCTGATAACAGCGAAGAGGCTGGGGGGTTGGTTCACTTATTATTAGGGTTTGAAATCTGCGTTCGTTTGAGCCACAGAAGTAAATATTATTCCAAGAACAGTTAAGCGCGATATATTACAGTTCTATTTTTAATCCACAACGACTAGTAACCTTCTCAGCCGCCTTTACGCCGGAATGTATTGCGCATTACGCGGTATTTTACCCAGATCTCGGCCGCTTTAGTCATCCAATAACTAAATTGTGAGACTTTTTATATCAAAACCCTCCACTTCTATACGAATGGCCCTGCTGTTTGCTGGCCCAGTTGAGGCAACTCTCCCGCCAAGCGGACCTCGGCCATGGGAACATCCATGATTTTTTATTATTTTTTATCCCACGAACCATGGTGGGCTGGGCAACGACGATTGCTCCAGTTGCAACGCCCGTCTTGTCTCTTGTGGCTGCATCAACTGGTGGCACGCCTTCGTCATTGAGGCGTTGCAGTAAACTTTTCTCCTCTGGCCTGGGAAGATCTCCCTCAACAACCAAGTCTCGTTTCTCTTCGTGGGGCTCTTGAATACCCTTGGATATTATTCATCGAGGGGGGGAGATGCAAGTCCTGTTCTCCGTCAAGTTACTGGGACACTAGAGACTTTAGACCCATGGAGTCTCAATATCTTGGGCAACAATGATAAACCCGCTGAAAAGGGTATAAATATTCATAAAGGGAGCGATGTTCCCTTTCTTTCAGTCAACGTCCTATTTGCCTACACTCGTTTGAAGATTATATCTTCTTATAGAAGTTTTTACACTTTGTTCTCTTGGACAAATCCGCTCGCTTTCAGTGATTAGCTAGTCTTAACTGTCGCTATCTTGGCTTCGGACGCTCTCAAAAAAGCCAGCTTATATAGCCCACACCATAGATCTCTTGACGGAGTGCTCTGATTCTCGTCATGAGGGTGTCTGCAACGCTTTTCGTGGCGGCCGTCGCCGAATTTGCGTTCGCGCTGCCAGGAAAGTATCCTCCTTATGGGGATTCCGCGTCGGAGACTAATTCAAGCTATCCGGTTCCTCCTGTGACGGACTCGTATCCTGCTTACTCGGAGCATCCCTCGGTTGACTCTTATTACCCGACTCTTCCTCCCAGTGATACGAGCTCGTACCCAACTCCACCTCCAGTTACATACTCATCATTCTCATCATATCCAGTTGCGCCTCCATCTTCCTCGAAACCACCTTCTGTGACGGACTCTTCTTACCCAGTCCATCCGCCCAGTGCCACGAAGTCTTATCCAGTTCCACCTTCCAGTGGGACGGGTTCCTATCCAGTTCCTCCAAACATTACGGATTCATATCCAGTTCCCTCTTCTTCACACCCAGTCACCACCCCTCCTATTATTACGGACTCCTTCTCCGTCAGTCCCCCTAGTAGTGCTACAGGTTCCTATCAAGTTCCTCCAAACATTACGGATTCATATCCAGTTCCCCCTTCTTCACACCCAGTCACCACCCATCCTACTATTACGAAGTCTTACTCCGTCCATCCTACCAAAACCACGTATAGAGTTACAACTTATACTGTAACGGATACGATAACCAGAACAAAGTGGTTCCCCCACTCGACACCTACCACTTCCTCGGGTGGCCATACTTACTATACTACCTGGGAAACTGCTTCTACCTGGACGACAACTACGTGGTATACTATTACTAAGACGCTCACCCTACCTACTTACACTCCTCCGCCTCCTACTTACACTCCTCCGCCTCCTACTTACACTCACACATCCGAGTGTCCTCCTTATTGCCTAACAAGCTGCCCGACAGTTTACACGGTTACCACCACCGTCACTGAGTGCGGTGGCGATGCTTGCGGAGGATGGTATCCCCAGACAACAACTACACCTACCTCTTATCCTCACTATTCACCCACGTCTTATCCTCACTATCCACCCCAGTCTTATCCTCACTCTTCACCCACGTCTTATCCTCACTATCCACCACAGTCTTATCACCCTACTAGCAGTTACGTCGAACAGTCGTATCCAACGACGTCACCATATCCTACTGGCATGAGCAGTGATGTCAAGCCCTCATATCCAATGACATCACACTATCCATACCCGTCGTATCCTCACTATCCACCCCAGTCTTATCCTCACTCTTCACCCACGTCTTATCCTCACTATCCACCACAGTCTTATCACCCTACTAGCAGTTACGTCGAACAGTCGTATCCAACGACGTCACCATATCCTACTGGCATGAGCAGTGATGTCAAGCCCTCATATCCAATGACATCACACTATCCATACCCGTCGTATCCTCACTATCCACACCCGTCGTATCCTCACTACCCACACTCGTCTTATTCTCATCATCCTACGAGCAGTGATGTCAAGCCCTCATATCCAACAACATCATCTTATCCTCACTATCCACAACCTTCGTATCCTCACTACCCACACACGTCTTATTCTCATCACCCTTCAAGCAGTGACGTCGAACCGTCGTATACAGTAACATCATCACCCTATCCTACTGGCACGAGCAGTGATGTCAAGTCCTCATATCCAGTGACATCGTCACCCTATCCTACTGGCACGAGCAGTGATGTCAAGTCCTCATATCCAGTGACATCGTCACCCTATCCTACTGGCACGAGCAGTGATGTCATGTCCTCATATCCAGTGACATCGTCACCCTATCCTACTGGCACGAGCAGTGATGTCAAGTCCTCATATCCAGTGACATCGTCACCCTATCCTACTGGCACGAGCAGTGATGTCATGTCCTCATATCCAGTGACATCGTCACCCTATCCTACTGGCACGAGCAGTGATGTCAAGTCCTCTTATCCAGTGACATCGCCACCATATCCTACTCCTAGCTCTCACATTGAGCCTCCATATTCAGAGGCATATCCTACCCATTCTGGGTATCTCAGAGAACGGAGGTTCGCTCTTCCGGTCTTCTTCTAAATGAAATATAAACGACAACTTGTGGCACGCGCGGAGGGGAGATAAGCCCATCGTCCATGCTTTAAATATTTTTACTCCACGCCCAGTTATGTTAATTTGATATTACCGTACATTTTATCCCTCATGATTGATTATACCTCGTATCTCCTAATTTTCAACTTATATCCATTTACCTTCCTATTTTACCTTACACCAAACCCCTTCCTTTTCATCATCTTGCGTTTCTCAAATTATGAGTATACGTCTAGCATCAGCGGCATTTCGACTACTGTCCTTCCTTTAATGACGCCCCCATGGCTTCTAATGATTTGTGACTTCATTTTTACAGTTTTTTTCCTTGACTTTGATGAGGGGCTCTCTTCCATGGTCGGACCGTCGATGTACATGATTTCTTTGAAACGCACCAACACTCCTTACGCATATCAGAATATCAAAAAATTGGCGTTAATTTCTTTTCTTTTTTCTTATGACAGGATGAACTTGATATATTCATTAACCTACATGTTTTATCGAGGGATAGTATCAGATTAGGATCTTACTTTATTATAAGCAAAATAAATATGCTTAAATTAGAAGGAAGGCTAGCCTCAAGAACCTCTTAAAACCACACGCGATGTAACAATGAGGAATTATCATATAGTTATCGAAGGAGAGTACAGGCGCAGTTTCACTAGTACATTACATCTAAGCACTCTCCTCCCTTGCCTCCGCTCCCCTTCGGACGGACGGGCAACAACCCAGTCCGAATTACTTCAACACAACCCCCTCCCCCTCCTCTGTCTCCGCGTACAAACCGTCTCCCTCAAAAAAACCTTACCAAGGCCTCCGTATCCTCAGCCTCCGCATCAGACTCATTCCGTATCTCAAGCGAAAACTCCATCAGTCCCCTCAGGCGCCGGATGGGACGATGCCACTCAGCGTCCAGCGACCGAACCGGGCCAGCAGGCAGCGACACCAGAACAAGCATGAGGAACCCTTAGTCCATACATTTTCGTCGCCAATATATCGCAGAACTCATCATAGACGTTCCTCTCCTCGTCCTTGTTGTAGCTACTATCCGCCGCCACCGACGAGGCCCACAGCATCGGTCCCACCACTGTCTTTGGTTGGCTCCCCCTGCTACTGATGGTGGAAGCGGGCGGTCCGGAGCAACTCTACGCCAGCTAGAGGTGGACGGGTGGGTGGCGCCCGGAGGAATCTGACATGTGAACAGGTTCTCCGGCCCGATGAGCTTGGCGAATGGATTCCATGTCTCCTGGAAGACAGGCGTGGAGTAGAAGAGAGGGGCGGCCTATTGTGGATTTGGTGGCATGTTAGGAGGAAGGCTGGAGACCTGCGACCTGCAACCTGTCGACTGAGCATTGAAAGTAAAAATGATCATATTCGTTGCGCCTAGTTCGGCTTCGTAGAGGGTATGCGGATATGACTGATACGGCCCTTGTTGTGCAAGAGGTGGATTGTATCGCGGCCGAAGTTGAGTTTGTAGATTAGAACGCGGATTTCAGGGGGTATCCGGGTGAGGAAATAGGATTCCTGTATAGTCTTGGGTGGTGGTGTAGGCAACGGGGGGAGTCCTGGTCACGAAACCGCGGAACGTTTCTATGAAGTTCAACATTGATCTGACACTGGGTATGAATTGCAAGTCTTTTGGAAGAAGAGCACTTAGTAGGGAATGATACCGTAAAAAATATATGTGTGTCCGGGATTTGAACCTCCTCTGAGAATGTCAAAAAATTAAACCCAGCAGAGGCCAGCCGAAGTTATGTAGTCACACAGAATTAGAAGTAAATATTGAGGCCTTGGGGGCGATACTCAGATAGGTCCCCATGAATCTTCCAAAAGCACTCGATACCTTAGTTTCTAATGTCTCATAACATAGACTCAGACAGGCAGGGTTGATTTCCGCCTTGCATCGCCGACTCTCCAGAAGCCTTCAAATATAAAAAGGCTCCCAGGCTGCTAGATAAATAGAGCCTATCAAGCTCCAGCATCGCAGGCACGTTGGAAGCTCCCTTCAAGGTGAGCTGTTCGGCAAGCCGCGATCTGGCCGTTTTGCAACGGCGGGAGAAGGATGATTCGTCAGGATTCATCATTGAATCAAGCTCCATCCAATCCAGTCTTGCGACGTCGTCGCACACCTACAGACAGACAGGCTAGTCTTTGGGCGTTGATTGGGCTTTTGAGTCCTTCATAATAAGTACTGCGTAGTTACCAGTTATTCGATCGCTACCTGCTGTTAAATATATCCTATTCCAGCAACAGGAAGCAACAGGCAGACGAATATGATTCTTGAGGCGCTTTATAAATAGCTGAAACAGGCGCACAAGGATTGGAACCTGGCCGTCCTCAACGCATCCCCATGGGAATAAATTGGCGCTGGACACACGGTGGGATAGTTGATTGTTTTGATTATTATTGTTTTGAAGGCTAGGAATTCAAATAATGTTTGAAACTCTTTGGATTTGTTTATTCTCTTCCTCTCCCCCACAACTCCTAGCCTTTTTTTCTTTTTTCTTTTTTTCTTTTTGTTTTGAAAAAAAAAAGGCCCGGAAAGAAAAAGAAATCGAGAAAAAGGCTTTCTCATCAAAAGGAAACGAAGCAGGGTATTTTGGTAAAAGTATAGCAAGAGCTGACTGACAACCACGCAACGCCTGTGACACAGATATCAAACGTATTTCCCAAAATTTGCCCCGTCACTTGAAATTGGATGGTATGACGATGGTGATGATGATATTCCCGATGAGGAAAACCGCGGCACAAATATTTTTTTTTCTTTTTTTTTTTAAAAAAAAAAAATAGCATTAACGAGTGGGTCCACTGGTCAAAAGAAAAATAACGGAAATAGATTCAAGGGGAGAGGGTTAAAATATAAATAGTAACTGAGAAAAGATGAAAAGTAAATTAGAAGGGACAGTAGAAAAAAAAAAAAAAAAAACAAGGCGCACAGATATAACTAATAACTACGTGTGCGAAAATGAAATACACGTTGCTGCTTGCTGCTCCACTCTTCTTTAAGAAACACACAGAAGACGAAAACACCTATACACACACACATAAAATCAATAAGCCGTCGCAACTATTCCACTCCACCACCCAGGTCGTCTTGGTTTTTCCCCGGCCGAAATTGAGGATATGTTTGAACCCTGCCTACGCCATACGCCAAAGATAACGAATTCAACAAAAAGGAACTATATCGGGGGTGCCAAACAGGGCAGATTCGTTCAGAAACACGGGAAGAATGTGATGTGAGATACGGGGGAGGAAATAGAAGAGAGATTTAAAGAAACATCAAAAAAAAAGACAAATACCAACGACATATTAAGAAAGGTAAAGCCCAAAAAAAGGTAATAAAATGAATAAAGTGAAACCAAAAAGATAATAAAGTAGTAACGACAATGATAGCATGGCCACAATAAAAACGCAATGGTACGAGGTAGTAGTGCGAAAAACAAAAGCGAGAGATAGCTAGGAAATATAAAAAGCGAAACCGAATAGTATATATGCAGAAATGAGGCCATAATCGTCTTACACAAGTAAACGAAGTCGCAAAGAGAAATAAAACGAGAACGGAAAGAGGAAAGAGTCGTGAGTAAAAGGAAAGGAGGCAGGAACTACCCTGGAAAACCAAGGAGAAAGCTGACTTAGCCGGTCCATGACCGTAGTAGATGCTACTTCTAATCTTTAGTCCACGAACTAGCCACACGGGTTTGACGTGTACTCACTACGTCAGATTTCTGATTCGGATTGGGACCACCAGATGCCGATGTAGCTTGACTGTCCATCCCCGGTCGTTGGTTCTTCGTGTCTAGTGATTTCATTCCATTGCTGTTGGGGACGTGGTGAGGAGGCTCGCCGCTGCTCGACATTCTTGGCTCCTTGCTCTTTTCCAGGAGGGAACCACCGAGAGTTGCGCACTTCAAGATGGTTTGAATCATCTGGTTCTGTTTCAGAGGTTTAGCCAGGTATTCATCCATCTGGGCTTGGATACATTTCTCCCGGTCACCGAGCATCGCGTGTGCGGTCAAAGCGATAATGGGCGTTCGTGATAGTCCGTTTTTCTTTTCATATTCTCGGATCTTGCCCGTAGCTTCGAATCCTCCCATAACAGGCATTTGGACATCCATCAAAATGACGTCGTATCGACGCTTCTTGATCGCTTCCACAGCTTGAAGGCCATTGCTGACAACGGTCACGCCATGGTTGCATTTCTCCAGTATCTTGACGGCAACCCTCTGGTTCACATCGTTGTCCTCGGCCAAAAGAATATCAAACGATCTTGTGTGGTCCGTAGTTATTGGCGTGGAACGTCCTTCAAGAGCAGGCAACATGCCATTGCCTAGATCGATAGGCTGACAAGGAGTTGTCATGTACGATGTGATACCCAGATCCAGTGCTGACTTCAGACTGACAGAAACGACAGGGCATAATAGAACGATAGGTATGTATTTAAACTCATCGTACGTGCGCAGATTTCGCGCGGTGTCGACGGAGTCGACGATTATAACGTCGTAAGCATGTCCAGAATCCTTGCCTGTGGGATCCTGAATTTCCGGTGGTGGTACCTGCGATTCATCCTTCACAACAATGGGCTCTAGGTCAAGCTGCTTCAGCATTTCAGTAATTTCCTCTGCGTGGCCACCGGTCTGGCCTTTGTCGATGAACAGAACACGGTGGTTTTTGTAGGGCATGAGGGACGCGCTAATCATGCTGATAGACTGGTCTGCCAGTTCTACAACGCACGTGAAGTGGAAGCTACTTCCGAGGCCATATTCAGAGGTAACCCAAACATCACCACCCATGAGATTCACTAATCTCTTAGAAATAGATAGCCCCAGACCAGTTCCTCCGAACTTCCTGGTCGTCGAGCCGTCAGCTTGCTGGAAGGTATCGAAGATCAAATCCAACTTGTCTTCCTCAATTCCGATTCCAGTATCCGAAACGGAGAATTCGAACGCGTATTCATTATCTTTACATTCCTCTCGATCCGATCTGCTGATAGCAAGTTTGACTTCCCCATGTTCCGTAAATTTGATCGCGTTCCCGACCAAGTTTAGTATAATTTGACGTAATCTGAACGGATCACCAGTGACGTAGTCGGGAACAGAACTATCCACTTGGTACGCAAGGCTCAAGAACTTCTCGTTGGCTTTTACAGCTAAGGTTTTAAGCGCGTTGAATACGGTGCCTCTCATGCTAAATGGAATCTTTTCAATGACCATGCGGTTCGCTTCAATCTTGGAGATATCGAGGATATCGTCAATAATCGTCAATAAGCTATTGGCTAGGCTATGCACCACGTTCAACATCTCTCGCGGGTATGGCTTGAGGTCGTCAGTATCTAGCGTCAGCTGTGTCATGCCTATGATGCCGTTCATCGGGGTTCGGATTTCGTGACTCATATTTGCGAGGAACTCGGACTTTGTGCGGTTGGCAAGTTCTGCTGCTTCTCTGGCGGCAGTGTTTCGCTGAATACTATCTCGAAGATTCGAAACCATCTTATTGATCTTCCGCTTAAGCTCGTCCATCTCGCCGGAAGCATTCACGGTGATTAGTTTGGTGAAATCACCATCAGTGGCTGCATCGGTGATTTCTCCGAAAGCGCGCACTTGAGATGTCAAGTTTTCAGCCATGGTGTTAACGTCCTCAGTGATCTCTTTCCATCTACCAGCAATTCCTTCAACGTTGGCTTGGCCACCCATCTTTCCGTCGACTCCGACATCGCGCGCCACTCGTTTGAGCTCGTGGGCGAAGTTGGCAAGGCGGTCCACCATGTTATTGATCGTCACTTTCAAAGTGAGTATCTCACCTTGAGCATGGACTTCGATCTTCTTCGCAAGTTCACCCTTGGCAATAGCTTGGGTTACTTCAGATATCCCTCTCACCTGAGAAGTCAGATTTTGAGCCATGGTGTTGACGTTATCGGTCAAATCCTTCCATTTACCCTCCACGTTATCCACCTTTGCCTGACCGCCAAGAGTGCCATCAGTGCCGACTTCTCGCGCCACTTTGCTGACCTCGAAGGCGAAGGTGTTCAGTCTATCCACCATTCCGTTAATTGTGTTTTTCAAATCCAATATTTCGCCTTTCACGTCTGCAGTGACTTTCTTTGTCAAGTCACCCTTGGCGACAGCAGTGGTAACGTCAGCAATCTCGCGGACCTGAGTAGTAAGGTTCATGGCCATGCCGTTAACATTCTCAGTGAGATCCTTCCAAGTTCCTTCCACATCATGAACAGTTGCCTGGCCACCAAGGACACCATCTGTTCCGACCTCCTTGGCGATTTTTGTGACCTCTTGCGCAAATTGCTTCAGTTGGTCAACCATGGAATTGATAATTGTTTTCAAAGCAAGAATTTCACCCTTGCAGTTAGCCTGGACTTTCTGTGTAAGATCGCCCTTGGCGACCGCCGTCGTTACCATCGCAATATCACGGACTTGGGTCGTAAGATTTTCGGCCATGGCATTGACATTAACAGTAAGTTCGTTCCACATTCCTTGGACTCCCTCAATCTGAGCTTGTCCACCTAGTACACCCTCAGTGCCCACGTCTCGGGCGACCCGCGTAACTTCAGTAGCAAATGTACGAAGTTGATCCACCATAGTGTTGATGGTTTGCTGAAGCTCCAAAATTTCACCTTTGGCTCTGCTTTCGATCTTCTGGCTGAGATCACCATGGGCGACGGCTGTCGTGACAGTTGCGATTTCTCGGACTTGATCTGTAAGATTCTTGGCCATGATATTTACATTTTCCGTCAGCTCTTTCCAGATACCATGGACTCCGGTAATCTGAGCTTGCCCGCCAAGGATTCCTTCGGTTCCGACCTCCCGGGCCACTCTTGACACTTCGCTCCCGAAAACCTGGAGTTGGTCCATCATAGTATTAATAGTGCGTTTAAATGTCGTGATTTCCGGGTCCATTTCTAACGGATGGATCTGAACTTTCATAGACAAGTCTCCATTTGCAACTTGTGTGATGATCCCGCCAATTTCTCGTAAGGCCTTTTGGAAAGCCTCGTTGGCCTGTTGGTGCTTGCGTAGTTCCCGCTCTAATATGCCGACATCCTCCTTTTTCACCTTCCCTAGGGCTTTCTCGGTATTTTTCTCCTGTTCTTTGAGTTCCTCACGAACCCTGGAGATTACATCTTTCTGTAGTTGTATTTCTTGTGCTTGAAGTTGAACTCGGTTCTGTAGGAAATGTATATCGTCTTCATAGTTCACATCGGATCCGGGGAGGGGTTTAGGTGACCCGTGGGAATTAGTGTCTTGTCCACTGGAAATCGCTGCGCGGGTAGATCGTCGGGATGGGGGCTAAATAAGGTTGGTCAGCATGATGAAATTTTAGACCTCTTTTCCCAGCAAAGAGAGGTAATGCCACCCTAGAGATCCGATCTCTACAAGAATGACTCTTGAAAGGAGTGTTATAAAGGAGGATTCGAAGGCAACTAACCACAAAACATTGCATAGTACCGATCCTACGGATCAGATCCTCCAACTCCCGTTCCAAAACTGCCTTACCATCGCTGTTTTCGCCTGGCAGATTTATTTTCGCCACATCGCCGTTGGTAGCATTGTTGGACTTGTAGCTGTTGAAAGGCAGCGATGCGGAGTCGGGGACATCCTTTGCCAGACCCTGCAGGATGCCAGCTACAGCAAGCAGGGTTTCATCACCCCGAGTCATGGTGCCTACAGCGGATGGGAAAATAAAAAAAGGCGAGGAAATCGTCAGCTAATCCAGTTCATCTATTTTTTCCCCCTTCTTCTCAAGCACCAGTGGCTCTAAAATAAGAGGGGAGAGTTATTGCCATCAAAGTAGGCGGCTTAGTGATGGTGAGCAGCGGGTGCTATCTCTATGCGAGGGCTATTGGGGGTTGACAAACCGGATGCGTTGGGTGCTCTTCGACACAAAAAACGGGCAAAAGCGCTAAACCGACATGAGGTAGCAGGGAATTGGCAGAAGGAGCCCACTATATCGCTTGAAAAGAAAGAAAGATAGGCGTTCCTATCGTTGAGTCGACTCTCGAGGATAGAAGATGAGAAGCGATGGAGTAGACTTCAGGTTGGCGGAGGGAGAAAAAGCGTGGACGAGGCTCTTTGAGGAAAGCGCCTTTTGTTTGGGGGGGGGAAGGGAGGGAAGAAGGTCCGGGTTCAGTCCCAGCCAAAAGCGGAGAGGAGAAAACGTTGCTGGGACCAGCAGCGCGCGCCCAAGCGAGAACGGCTTAGGGGCCAGACACTAGCCCGGGCTAGTTACCTCGCTGGCGCTGGTTTATGGCTGCGAGATCTTAAAAAATAAATTAAATTAAAAATCAGAGCCCAATAGCAGCAGCTCTTGAGAATCGTTTAATCGGGCGGGTGATTCTTCAAAGCTCTAGGTAAGGCAAAATAAACTTTGATGATGAATAAAGTCATTATTAACTCGCTATTTGTAAAATAGATAGGAACATTAAAAACTCCCAGCTGCAAACAAGACATCAAATCCAAGCACAAACTTCTCACAAAACTACAAAATCCTAAGCACCATCAAATCCATCCTGCCGTTGAGTATGCTGAATCTGGTACGGATCGCAGTCAGGAGCTTGCAGTGTTTACACACCTTCCCTCTCGTTAATCCAGATATTCCAACGACCTGGGGGAATAAACCACAACAGGGGGGGGAGGAGAGATAAATATCTAGGCTGGATCTCGGGGGATCATAGTCCGTAACTAGTTATCTCATCCAACTAGTTATATTTACCAAACGGCTGACAGACCCATATACAAGGCTACGGTACGGAGTACAATACATACCACATAGTTAACGATTACCATCCTGATCTTGTGACCGCGCCGCCCATCCGGACACCAGCAGCAACTCATGATGGCTGATAAAATACTACTGATGATATTTTTTACTACGTAGTTTACCACCAAACAAACCAGGTAATACTATACTTGAATACCCAAGGTAAAATACCTCTATATAAACCTCAGAATCAATCAGCTAATGAACCTTGGAAGGACATACTGCGTAGGTGTCAGCACTGAGTGATATCCACCATGTTTGTAGTAATGAACCATTGCCATAGCTATTCATAGGTAAGTATGCATACCTAGCTAGGTAAGTCATGTCAAACCCATGGACCTTCTCATAAAAGCACGAAGGAGAAGTTTCACTCAAACCATTGGAAAAGTACAGTTCTGCAATGTTTGTTTTCTTTGCTGTCTTGCTCAATCACTCACAATGTGCGCGGAAAGAAAGGGAGAAAGACAGCCCGGGAACCTGGCACAGGAACAAACTTTTCTTTTTGCCATGATAGCTATCCCGCATGGTTATTAGTACTCTACAAATCTACCTAGGTAAGTCGGGGAGTGTCGCACGCACACCACCCTCATCCCTCTAGAACTTCTCCCGGGCGGTTTGAGTGGGCGTGAAATGCATTCATGCGCAATAATGTGAGACATTGCGGTCAGGCATAGGGACATTAGATTTCATTATTTGCAGGCACCGTTTCAACCTGACAACACTGGCCTTGATCTCCTTCTCCCTCACCTCTTTTTTTCAATGTTCCTACAGAGATTGCCTCTTCTTACCCCGCCCCGGCTCCCCATGCAACCTCCCTTCTGATATTCCTCTCAAGATATTTTGATTCGAGGGCAAAACTTGCAGGGGCGGGGCGGGAAACGGAGGTGGGGTGGGGGTGTTCCTGTGCAGGATCCGAATAACTCTCACGCTAATAATTAGAATAATATAAAGGCTTACTGATATCCCGGGTCGGTCACAGTCAGCAAGCGTGCAAGGGTAAGCAGGTTGGGTTGAGTTGGGTAAGATGGCTCTCATGAACTGGACCTGCGATGGGAATCGATTTTGATACTACTCACCATCTTCAGCATGGATGCAACAGGCGCATGCAAATACCGCTACAATCATGACTGGTTCTGACTACGATTTGTTATCCTTCCATCCTCCATGTCATGTCTGCTTTGCCATGATTCTCAGTTTTGCTGTTGATGTCTGGGGCAAAATGTTTTGATTTTCCCTTCCTTCATGTCGTCATCAACTTAACAGCTTTCAAATGCAGCCCTAAATTGCCAGGGGGAACCCATGGGGTTTCAGCGCACGGATTGCTAAGTAACCGTATTGATTAATGACTTTGGCCACTTGCCATCGCTTCGATGAATGTGGAAGATTTCCAGATTATTGGAGCTTAGGCCAATTATTTAAAGGATGTTAATGCAGCAAAGCACCATTTTTTCCCCGTCCCTCCCCATAATTTTCAGTAATTTTCTCTCTAACTTTTCTCAATGCTAAATAATCCATGGTTGTGGAAACTGAATTGTTTCGCGTTTGATCGCCCTTTAGTACTTCTAGTCTAATTTTCATCGATTTTTCTTCCTTATTTATCAGTTGGATGTGAGAGCTGGTGGCAAGAAAAACTGGCGGTCTGTATAGCACGTAACAATCATCAATCTTACGTTCTTCCCTTCGTGTTCAAAGCCAGGTTTGCCTGAGGACGGCCCGATTTTAAGGCGAATCTCCGCTCCACGTGACAAATGGTTTGTTCATTTTTGTAGGATAGTTGAAGGTTGTATTGATAGATCTATCTACAGGAACATATTATAGTGGTGGGTCACGTGATCTAGTGGGATCGCTAACCGCAACGGCCGTAAGGGCCAACACCCCCCCTCGAGATAACAAGAATCACATACAAAAACACCCAAACCACCAAGATAGTCTGTCAAAACCAAATACAAATGTAAAATTAAACATTCCCAACTTTTACACCTGTAAGGCCTAGCAAAACCATGAATCATACAAATATCACATTGTCTAGAGGTTTAGTGAGTCCATCCACTGTCATCTGAGTGATGAGAATATATTCTAAATCAATGACTCTCTGATTCAACTGCTAACATGAAAAATGAAAATGCATGTTAATGTGCTTGCTTCAGACTGTAATGACTGTCATCTTTGTGAGATCTATGATATTCTTATTATTAGTGAGAATCTGTATCAGAGATGTAGTGATGAAGTCAAGCTCAATCATGAGATTCTGAATTCATGTTGCCTCACAGATCACCTCACTAAGAGTCACATATTCAGTCTCATTGAAACTTAGAGATACACAAGATTGCTTCACTGAATGTTATGAAATCAGGTCATCTGCAAGCTTAAAAACATAGCTGAATGTTGATTTTCTATCATTATTTAAGAGACTGGCTCAATCAGAATCTGAGTAGCTGAAGAGTAGATAGGAATTATTGAGAAAATCAGAGATAATGAAAAGATCAGTAGAAACAGACCTCTCATACAAGCTGCATTCATAGAAAATACTCAGATTCATAGTCTCTTTCAAATAACATATAATATATAATAGAGTCTTTCAATATTGAGATGTTGAATCAACATTCTGTTGAGTAAGTAGTAAGACAGTGTAAGTAATATCAGAATGTGTTTTAACTGTGAGATATTGCAAGCAACTCACACTATGTTGATATCACTAAATTGTGAAATCAGCCTCTTTCTCAGATATAGAGAAATTATCAATACAGAATTCATTCTTCATTAATATTCTAATAACAGCTGCATCATCAAGATAGAAATCTTTAATAAGATATTTAATATATTGATAATATATTAAATTAATTCTCTTATTCAAATAATTGATCTTCATACTTAAATACTTGATTAACTGATATAGATTCTTGACTTTCAATTTCTCACTGAGTATACTTACTAGTCAATCAGTATTCTCAGAAGCTTCAGATATGATATTGAGATTATCAATGTAAATCATTATATAGAGATAACATCTGAATATATGATATCAGAGTGCTGAATTATGAGTGCTAACTGTAAATTCAAGATCACTCAATAGAGCTGTTAAGTAATCATATCAGATCTTCACTGCAGAGTTCAGACTGTATAGACTACTCTCAACTGTGCAGATAAGTATTTTCAGTGAACCTGTCTCAAATTCAGTGAATTATCTCATATAGACCTTCTTAGTGAGACACTTATAAAGATATACTATCACTATATTCACTTAACAGAGTGTTCAACTGTGTAGTGCTGCTATTGTAAAAAGAATATGATTGACAGTATCAGTGATAACAGAAGTGTAGATCTCTTCTCTAGAACTCTTCTTAAGTCAGTTACTATAAATCACTTAATGCAATTTTCTAAGAATATCATCAGAATTGATATTCAGGTCAGCAGGCCTATCTTTCTCAAGAAACACTTAACAGTTCAGAGTAATCAGTTCATCTCTTAGAACATCAGATCTAGAGATCAAACTTCATATATTACATCTCTTCAGATCAGTAATTTCATATTGCATGAACTTCTTTCAATAATCTTCTACTTTTCCTGACTGAGATGTAGCATTCTTGTAGAACTTCAGAAGGTTACCTGTAATGAGGCTTAAAGTGTAAGTAGTCAGTGATTTCACAGGTCACAATCATGTGAAATTCAGATCATTAATATCAGAAGTGTTCTCATTATCATCAATCAGATGAATATCAGGTTCTGGTACACTGGTATTATTAGTGAGTGTCACAGATATAATAATCAGTTCAATAATATAATTGATGAGTTTTACAGATGTAATGACTGATTTTTCAGTGATCAGAAACCTTACATCACTACTGATAATAATCTTATCAGATTCAGAATGTTATAGACAATATATCAATATGTCACTGAATTCAATAATATGATAGAAATCAGCATGTGAAGAAAGCTTATCTGCGGGCTGCTGAGATTCATGCAAGTGAATAAAAACCTCTGTACTCAATTGATGAAAATGCCTTACATTCAGTGAGATATTCATAAGTGCACATCAAGAAATCTTATATGAACTTGAAATCACAGAGATCTCTGCAGTAGAGGGTCAAAATTTTGAGTTGTAAAGAACTGTAGATATAAGAGTATTATTAATTATTGCAATCACTGTCTCTAGAACATCTGCTCAGAACTTCTTAGAGAGATTATCTTTCAAAAGAGCAGCTCTAATCTGTCTCATGATAGTACAGATCTCACATTTGAAAACATCATTCTGATGTGATGAATATGATGCTGTTGATTCTCATTTAATATCATATGAATTCATAACTGTGTGTATACATGTAAATTGGAAAACATCATCAATATCAGTCTATAGAAAAGCAGGAACTGTATATCTGAGATTACTCATGAATCTGAGCCATAACTCAAAGTATTGAACAGTCTCATTCTTGAACTTTAAAAAATACACTCAACAGTAGTGAGTTGCATCACAGATGATAAGTATTCAGTATTTCATTCTCTGACAGAACTCTAAGAAGTGATCAGAGAGGTCTTTCAATGTACATTCATCATCTACAAGGTTAATATGAACCTTCTCAATAAGTTGAATAGATCTAGACATCAGTGTTTTCAAATAATCTTGCATCATATCAGCCTTGACACATTTCTTACAAAAGAATTTAGTCTTAGAACCTTTAATTGTGACTTCAGTATGAAGATTCTTAATCATAGTAATTATAGTATCAGTGTGAATGTGACTGAGATTATAATATCAATTCAAAAGAGTCTTTGATATCTTTAATGTCTGTGTTTTCATATTCACAGAATTGACATTATTAACAGTAGTAACAGCAGTCACAGAAAGATTAACTTTTTGATCAAAATCATACTCATGAGATATTGCAATATACTTGACTGTCTTATTCAGATGATTGAAATTCTCATTAAACTCTTGTTCATTAATCTTATATATGTTATTCTGAGCAGTTCAAACTGTATGAAAAATAACATCATTCAGAGCTCTGTAAATGAAAAATGAGGGAATAGTGAAAGACAATGTAAATCAGAATCTCTGATCTTCAAGCTTTACAAATGAGAGCAGATTAACTGTAATATTAGAAATATAGTGAACATTCTGCAAGTTAACATTATCACTCTCAATCTTCAAGGTGACAGTCTCAATCTTCTTGATAAACCCAGTTTTCTCAGTCACAGAATCAATAGAGATATTATCATTAAAAGATTTGATGTTTGAAAAAGAATGAAACTCATTCATCATATTCAGACTTGCACATGTGTTCAAATATCAAGATCTAGAGGATGGTTTTTCAGTGACTGTGAAAGAGAAATAGAACTTAATCTTTGTAATTACTGCATTTGCTGCTGATTGAGAACTTATCAAGTCATTCTTCTTCTCTTTCTTCTTATCATTCTTCTTGTCATTCTTCTTTTTCTTTTTATCAGAGTGTAAGATGAAACATCTGTCAACAGTATATTCATATCTTCTGCAGTGAGTGCACTTTCATACAGATGTGCTTTTGTTCTTATCTTTGTTCTTATCTTTATTCTTGTTCTTTTTCACAGTCACAGAATCAGTCTGAGACTGCTTTTTTCACTCAGTAATGATCTTCTTGAATGTACAATTGATCAGTTGCTTTATCAAATCATCAATATCAATATTGATAATGAGTCTCTGATCAGTGAAGAAAAACTCATTTAAATATATCTTAACAAACAGTCTTTGATAATCTTGTAGATTGTTGAGAAAGAGATTATGATATATATTCTCAGTACTCTGACAGAGCTTCTTGTGACAGATAATAAGATAGTGAAAATATCTCTGAAAAGTAAGATAATCATTCTTCTTGACTTATAATTTTATCAATTTCTTGAAGACATTAACTCATTTCTCTATCAGTGATATCACATATTTCATATTAATCTTATCTCACAGAGTCACAGCATTGTCAGCTTTCAAGGTTTCAATAGTAGTTCAAATGTTTTCAACAAGACTTGATAGTATACATCTATATAGAGACTTAGAACAGATTCTTCACTTCTCAGAGTTAATATAATATATAAAAGAGAATTCTCATTGAGTTCTCAATAGAATGTTGATTTCATTAATAACTTTCATATCAGCTAATATACTGACACATCAGGCTTTATAATTAGAGTTATTAAATGTAATCACTGATTTAATATCTAGTGTATATTTAACTTTCTTCTGATATTTCTGCAACTCATCTCTTGTAATGTCTCTTTGTACAGATATAGTAAGATATTGAGTGATTTCAGCTGCAGCTATCTGATTCTATAGCATTATCTGTATAAGATTTATAAGATTATCTGTGATGCAATAGATAGATTGATTCAGATTATCATTAAAAGTCAGCATTTCAGAGGTGAGAAATGATGAAGAATTTAATAGATTGAAATGAACAGATTCTGCAGATGAATGTTGAGATTGACTCTGCTTTTCTTTGTTCTGAAGTTTCTTCATTGTCTCATCATCAAATTCCATACTCTGATGAAAACTGATCTCAGCCTCATCTTGCAAGTCAGAAGCTTTCTCATAATGAGTGATCATTCTATCAATGAGTTGTCTAGTGAAGCATGTAATTCTGAGCCTTGAGCTGAACTCTGAAGTAACAGATATATCACTTATATCAAGGTGACTCTGCTTCTCCTAGATATGTAAAAAAAAAAAGATAAAAAGTGATATTCTTCACAATGAAGAATGTGCTTTCTTAAAAAAAAAATAAAGTATATGAATCTGCTGACTGACAGATTCAGGGAAAATGAAATATCTCTAATAAAGAGTAAGAGTCTTTTCAAAAAAAGGTGAACTATCTGTGTCAAAAATGTTGGTTCAACATTCTAAAAAGAAAAACATGCCATCCAGGCTATAACCTGTAGAATAGTTGAAGGTTGTATTGATAGATCTATCTACAGGAACATATTATAGTGGTGGGTCACGTGATCTAGTGGGATCGCTAACCGCAACGGCCGTAAGGGCCAACAATTTTCAACCTCCTTAATCCAGGATCAGGATAATTGATTGGGTGCAATCATGCAAGATGCTGTCCAATCGCCACGGGAAACCAGGCGCCGAGCATTCCAGGGTGTCAGAAAGTTCTGTACACATCCATCCCATCCTCACCGGCCTAAGTTAGTTATCGGTAGAGAGCTATGAATATTTCGAAAACGACGACCAATGTGCGACAGCCCAGCTCAATAATGTCTGCAACAAGTGGCGTCTCGCCTCTCTCTAGCATTTTTTCTTTTTTCCATTTTCCATTTGAATCATTGAGCAAATCACTGGAATACTTGAACATGCTAATTGCCGTGGTTTGTGCATACATAAGATATGCACGCTGTAATTTTGAAATCTCATTTTTTCCGCCTAACAAAACTTTACCCTAAACGGTCAGTACCGTATCGCGTAAAGTATGCCCCATCTGTATTATTATTACCGCAGACACAGCGATATCAGTGCCTGGTATTTTTGAATGAAAACTGTATCAATGGATGAAAACTCCCGCCCCGTTTGAATGACACCTCAACCCCCAGGGATGCATTTGATGATGACCTGTCAGATTCTTCATTCACTGATGATGATTTGTTTTTGAAGAAAATGGGAGCCTGAAGTGAGGCAGGGAGGAAAATGACAAGAAATGAAGTCCCCTCGATTCCGGAGTGTTACATCCTTGGACAGGCCCTGAGAGCTGAGAGGGGAAACTCAAGACTGATGGAGAAGCAAACGATACAATGGCCCGGGGCGATAATGTGAGGGAGGGAAGTTACACGGAATGGTAATATCAATCTAATACAGGCAGTACAAGTTCCTTTTTTTCATCCCCTCTGATCTGATGATATCCCCATGGTTTCCCAGTCAAATAGTGGTGACTCCTGCGTAGCCGTCGTCGCAGCTAGAATATAATATAGGAATATCAAGATGACAGGGAGAGGGGGGGAGGGGGCGGAGCATGCGCGGGACAATTTGGCGCCCCTTCCATAGAGTCCCTGGGGTGGTTGCGGTCGAACACGTAGAAAGTATCTAGCCGGGTCGGACCCTAGTGGATTTCTTACCACTCCCGTTGGTTATATAGATATCACTGGCTGCTGCCAGAAGCCGCCGGTGTTGTTGTCGGCGGGTTGACAGACCTGTGACGTAGTTCTCGCGGGGATGGCTGATGGGACATCAGGTGAACCAGATTTGTTCCCGTGGTGAAACGGGTCTGGGTCGAGGACGTGGTCCCAGGGAGATGGCTCTTAGAAAGGAAAGAAGAGTATGGGCGGGAAACAAATATATAGTTATATATTTTATTCAACACGCAAACTATATATAAACCACCCTGGCTTTGCAGGCCAATAAAATTTCTTCAAAACCAACACAACCAGATCACGATCATTATTCCATCCGATTCTGAGAGAGCACTCGCGGTAGCAAAAAGACCTACATAATATATCTACATAATATATTTACATAATATGCAATTAAAATCGCAGCAGCTGCAGTAGGAATAGCCTTCAAGCAAGGCATTCCGTTGAACCACCTCTGTCTAGGCAGACCGCAAAAGCCTGAGGTTTAATTGCATGCTGAGAATGGAATAACCCCACAGACTCAGTTAGCTAGAACATGCTGAAATACAAATAAAATATATTAATTATATTTTTCTCATGAAGTGTTAAGTATGTACAAACAGATCTTAATCTTTCATTTCAAAAGATCACGTAATATTGGACTGCTATGACATGACACGCTGATACCTTCAAAGTAGTTTACTTTTTTGAGTAGCTGCCACACGCCTGTGAGTCTGTGTAACTATTCTGTTATGGCGAGGATCAGTTTCCTAACCGCGGTATGTTTCTTCCCACTGTATGATCTACTAGATGCCCAAACAGGCCTTAAAACCTCGAAACAAGAGAGCACCTATCACATACGAACACAGGGAGTGGAAAATAGGGCTTCCCGTCCGCTCAGCCGTACTCAAGCCACTCACCGGCCTGTTAGTAGTTGGGTGGGTGACCACCAGCGAATCCGGGCTTTCGTATGTTTTTTGTGCTTTTTTCTCATTCGTCTTTTTGGTGCTTAAAAATTGATCTCTCCCAACTCTGTAGTTGTCTTGTCGATCTTTGGAAGCTTTGAAGAGAAAAATTTCAATCACGTGAGTGAGTGGTATCAAATTTCGCATATGGTCAGGCTGGCTAACCGTATCAAAATGCCAAAGCATCTCCAAAGAGTCATAATTCGCAACTGATTATATTCCCCTCGTTTCGGAACCCCCACCAAGGAATTTTTTGTTGACGGGGAATTGGCCCTGAGACAGGTATTCTGCCACAACCATGGCTTCCGACCTCACTGCGCAAATATTAGATCTCCTCTCCTCCACTGACGATCCGATTCTCTCTTCCGATGCCTTCCCCGCCGCCCCCAGCATTGCTCTAAAGAGCGCCCTGGACCGCCTTAGGTCCAGAGATATGATTATATATGAAACCATTGAACAAGAGCAAGCCGTATTACTTCCAGAAGCCGAGGGAATAGTAGCCAATGGCAGTCATGAGGCCAAGGTGTTCGAAGCCGTGAGGGCGGCACTGGACGGGCTGAAAATAAAGGATCTGCCAGATATAGTTGGCAAGGAGGCTGCAAAAGTTGGAGCTGGAAATGCATTCAAAAAGGGGTGGATTAAAAAAGATAAGGATGTTTTGAGATCAGCCACAGATTCAATCGAAGACACCACCCGAGAGCAGCTTTTGACCATACAGAAAACTAAAACATACTCCGACCCTAAGGTCTTAGCGGACTTGCGCAAGCGGAAGCTTCTCACGATGCAGAAAGTTTTAAGTTTCACAATATCGAAGGGTCCCAAATATGCGAGAGAGCTTGTCAAAGAGGAAACCGATCTTACAGCTGACATGCTCGCGAACGGGTCATGGAAAACAGCCAAATTTAAGCCCTACAATTTCAATGCCAAGGGGGCAATAACACCAAGCGGCGCCCTGCATCCTCTGAACAAAGTGCGTCAGGAATTTAGACAGATTTTCTTCGAGATGGGTTTCGAGGAGATGCCCACGAATCGCTTTGTAGAGACTGGATTCTGGAACTTCGACGCTCTCTTTGTCCCACAACAACACCCTGCTCGTGATCTTCAAGATACCTTTTATATTTCCGACCCCGTCTGCGCAGATAAGCCGCGAGAAGACGACCCATCTGACGTTCATGTCGCAAACGCTGGAAAAACGACGGGTAGATCTTCGGACGCTGATAACAGCAAGGCTCTCGATTACGAACAATACTGGAACAATATCCGCGCTGTACATCAATCCGGTAAGTACGGGTCAATTGGCTACCGATATCCATGGGATCCCGAGGAATCGCTTCGCCTAGTCCTTCGGACTCACACCACATCCGTTTCGACTTATATGCTCCACAAACTAGCCGCGAACCCTCGGCCGGCCCGGTATTTCAGTATTGATCGGGTGTTCCGAAACGAGGCCGTCGATGCCACACATCTGGCGGAGTTCCACCAGGTCGAAGGCGTGATTGCTGACTTTGGTCTTGCGCTGGGTGGCCTGATTGGCTTTATGGAAGTCTTCTTTGCGAAGATGGGTATTCATGGGCTTAGGTTCAAACCGGCCTATAACCCTTACACAGAGCCCAGTATGGAGATTTTCGGATACCATGATGGTTTAGGGAAGTGGGTAGAGATTGGTAACAGCGGGATGTTCAGGCCGGAGATGTTGGAGCCTATGGGTCTTCCGAAGGACATGAGAGTGTATGGATGGGGATTGAGCTTGGAGCGACCTACCATGATCAAGTAAGTTCAATACTTGGAGCTCTTTATTATTTTATTCCCCCCCCACCAAAACAAAAGCCTACCAGTGGCTCGGTGTGTGGAGAGAAAAAGAAAGAAATTGCTCGAAACTAGCAACTGACGCTCTTCGATTTCAGATATGGCGTAAGCAACATCCGTGAGCTACTTGGACACAAAGTAGACCTTAACTTCATCGAAACGAACCCAGCAGTCCGGCTCGAGAAGGATTAGTCGCAGCCTCTCCTCCCACATTAGAGTTTGATTTTTTAGTGATACTACCACAGACTGGAGAGCCAGAAGGGAGGGGGAACAATCATAAACAAGATATATACTGCTCACGGAATTTTTACGAAGAATTGAAGGATATCAGTCCAGTTCTACACGTGGGACTAGGCTATCAAAGGGGGTTTTCTGCTATAGCTCTGTGCTGTGGTGGTGGCATGACATGGAAATGAAATAGACAATTGTAAAATGAATACCACGATTCCTTTTCACTCAACAACTTCCTTTTTTTAAAAATGATTATTTCTCGCCCACGTAGATCCCGAATATAAACTGTACACGGTCTGTATTTACGTCGGAATAGCTTTTACCAACAGCGTGGAAGGAAAAATAGGTAAAGCCGCTCCGTGCCTCACGGAACGCTGGATTTCAACCCGGTATGAGAAACGTAGGAAGGAACGCAATAAGTTTTCACCAGCCAGTTTATATAGTTTTTACCGAGAAATACCAAGGTTTTATTGTATCCTGAACGGCTAGAATAAAAAATTAAGAAATACAAAAGTCATGTCCCGTCCGTATCTGTGCTCCGACGAGTGATCTTGAGGGTCGCAGCTCTTCCCAGACGAGTCTTCACTAAATGATCTCCCCCGGCTTATAAAAATTATTAGATCATATCCGCCTCAGCCATTCACCACAAAGATCACACAAACCACCGAGTGGTTTGTGGATTTGTTGTGGTGGGCGTGAGGTGATCTCTTGATGCCGGGGTTGGGAGTTTGGAAAAAAAAAAAAAAAAAAGAAAAAAGAAAGGAAGGAAAGAAAAAAATGGCGGACAGCGGTAGATATAACTAGTTAACTAGTAGAAAAAAATTGCTGTGGAATTGGGTACTGGCAAAAAAAGAAAAATGTCTTGGAATGACGTGTGTATCTCCTTTTTCTCACAGAAAGAGGGCGAAGCTACTGTTCGAATATTAGAATCTCCATATTTTTTCTATTTTTTATTTTTTATTACTGAAATTACCGTTCACATCCATCTTAGATCTTCTTGATTCATATCTTGATTTTCGTAAAGTACTTGAGTCATTGGGCCTAAGGTTGTTGATAGAAAGGAGGAAAGGTTATTTTTTAAAAAAGAGGATAGGAAAACAATAGTTTAATTTAAGAGCCTCGAAAAAGAACTCCAGTGTATTCCCGGGATTTTTTCTTATTTCGCTCATTTTAACGGTTATCTGGGGAAAAAAAAAAGCAAAACACAATATCAGCAAATAATTGCCCTCTCCCTCAATTCTCCATTTTACTTGCCATTCAGGTTTCCTAGAGGAAAGGACCGCACTCACCATCACAGCATCCGTATCGTATCCCACAACCCCCTCACACACAACCAGCGCATAAGAAAAACAGAAAAGGACAAAAAAAAAACCAACTCCCTCCTCCAATTTCCCTTAACGCTGGGAGCTCGCGCTCCATACATTCTTCAAGAACCCATCCCGTTGCGCCAGACGGTTCAAGCTGTCATCACTCTCACCCCGGGCCCGTACGAATCCGCAAAGGGCATATATTTGGTTCTCGCCAGTGTATCGGCCGTTCTCGTCAACTTTGGCAATGCTGATCTGGACGGAGGCGTGGTCCTTGGCCTTAATGATGCGGTTTGTGGCGCTGCATTTGCGAGGCACATAGCTATAAGAGGGGGAAAATTTGAGGTTAGAAGTCGGGCGATTTTAATTTCTCAATGCGGATTTTTGGAGAATTTTTTTGGGGGAATTCCTCCATATGCAGAGCGGAGAAAGAAAACATGTGCAGGGAAGCGATAAGTTTTTGCTTCTTCAATTGAGAAGAATGGGTGGGCAGATTCTCAATCCTCTCTCCATGGAGGAAGGAAGCGGGGGCATTCGCAGAGCGATGTTATACGTACAGGTCGACGATTTCTCCCCTTTCGTTTTCCATTTTGGCAGATTTGCGTGGATATCCGGAGAATAAGCGGTATTGAGAAGGGGGCTTGCTTGGATCTTGATCGTTGAAGTGCTGCGGTGATTTCTGGCGTTGAGTGGTGAGATAGAGAGAGAGCGAAGGAATTGTGCGTCATGTGACTAGGGGCAGAGATTTTAGGTTTGGAAGGTCGTGCGGTTAGGGTCTAAGGTGCGTGGTAATTTGTCGCATTTCTTCGACCATTACTCTGTATATTGCAGCGGCACTGCCAAGACCCGGCATCCTCTTACCGACTGACTCGAACCGATAGAAGCCTTTGTAGGAATGTTGTTTAACCAAGAGTGTACATGTAGTTTCTAATTACGGTCTACATATAGGTATCTTTACTAACAAAAAAACAGCAACTTCAATCTCATAGGGCGCTCTTTGCAAGTTTCTTCTCAGGCACAACCACCTCAATCCTCCAGCGAATCTCCACCTCCCTCGGCCCCTCTTTGCGAAAGCGCACTAGCACTACCCTATCCGGCTCCCCCTTCTTTCCAGAGCCCTGAAGTTCAGGCCCGACGTAATCCAAAGTGAGGATGTTTCGTCCATCTGGGACCTGCCCAATAGCTACCGGGGAGATATATTTATCGGTCCAGGGCGGTGACCCCGAATGCACAAAGTCGACAAATTCAGACCGGCGTCTGGCAGACTCCTCTTTGGAGACATCAGTCGCGTTTTCCCCCGGCCTCTCGAGGAATTGGGCGACGAATGAGAGTAGGAAGACCTGCGGGGGAAACATTATCGCATTCCCATTCTTGGCGAGCCGTAACCACTCCGATGCGGGGAGGAATCGGGCCTCCGTGATCTCTATCCCGCCATCAGATGTCGGCGCTTGGACTTCACTCTCTTCGCTGCCGATGATGCTTTTGGACTCTGAGGACAACGGGAGGAAGTAGAGGTACATCTGTGTTGTATAGCGTCTGGGGTTCGTGGTTGGCGTTATCCAGTGTGTAAACGGAATGAGGGGGTCTAGCTCGCACAAAAAAGGAAACAAACAGGTTGTCCTTGGTCAATCTAACAATATTCAAGCAGTATACTATTTGTTTGGGTTTCATGGTTCAATGTATCTGACCAATGTCTGGTTCTGCAGCTTCATCTATGCTCTTTAGCCACTTGTTGAACGTAATTTTGTTCTTGTGGATTGCATGTCTCCCTATCTCTCTCTCGTCCACGTTTACGTGGATCATTTTGCCGGTTCTCTTGTTTTTTGCGAGGAGGATACCGCTCTCTTCGAAGAGTTCGCGGATCGCCGCTCTTCGATAATGGGGGCCTTCATCGTGACTGTCCGGGTGCCCTGCTGGTGGGAAATCGCCATCTTGCGAAGATATGTTTCCTCCGGGAAACACATGAGCTGACGGGAAGGACGAGGAGTTTTGAACGCGGTGCAGCAATAGCACTTCGTTTTGCGGAGAGATAAGGATTACGCTGGCATGTAGACGAGTGCATTAACTTCTAGTCATTGCCCCGGTCATAAAAGTATTGCATATATATATATATACATATATATATATTTATATACTCCAGTGTGCGGATGCAAATACGCGAAGAACTGACCTTGCGCTCGGTTTTGGTATGGAGCGATCAACCCCTTTTTTCTTTGGAGGGGCCATCCTTCGATATTGTGGTAATCTCCGAACCGTCAAGTAAGTAGCTTTCTGGTTGAATCTGTGCGCGGGCCGAAGATACAAATAATTTGGCGCACTGGTATATTTCGTAGTAGGAGGGCAACTACCCCTAAAACCGCCGAGGGTTAATCGCAGAACGTTGCGAAGCTGATTTGCATTTGACGGGAATTGGCAACATCGGGAGGAAAGCATGTTAGCCAAATGGCTGCAGGCGGAGACGAGGGGGGAATATTTAAATTTAAATATTATTCCCGCCAGGCCGCGCCGTGGTTGCTCCGGGCGAATAATACTAAGTTCAATGCTTGTACCTTGGGTTTGGTTTGCCGAAACTCAGGTTCGCGGGGGAGGGTTTGGTTTATTTAGCCGCGTTTTCTGCCAGATATCCGAGGTTCCACCACACCATCTCGGCGTTGGCCTGCTGCTGCAGGTTCAAGTCCAGCTCGAGCTTCGGAGAACTTCCTGGCGAACGTTGAAAAAAAAAAACAAGGGTACTTGGTTGCCGAACGGGGAATTGCCCCTGAAGCAAAAATGAAGCTTAGCCACGTGAATTTCGGGCGACGGAGAGGTAAAGAATCTTGGTCTGGTGTAACTATTCAGTCTGGAAGGAAATCCGCTCGTCGGCACTCAACCTGCATTCAAGTTCCATACACTAACGATACTGTGCTCTCTCGAGCTGTGGCACAACACTACTCTGCATTTTCATTCTAGACTTATTTAACATAATTTTGATCGGGTCAGGTTTCATTACGTTTAAACTAACAACGAATATTTAGTGTTGGCCTTGTAATATAAATAGATGAATGGAGTGCGGTAATATTAATGCAAGAAGACTATTAATATGAATTGCTTTAACGGATCATATGGCTAATCACAGAGAGTCATGAAACTGCATAAACTTTTGAAAAAGAGTATCATAATAAATAATGACCATGTCCCCCATCCAGACAAACTCCAAAAACCAAAAAAAAAAATGATTCCCTTCTCCTCAATATAGTGACGGGGCGTCAGGAGCAATACCCACGTCCCCGGGCTTGCTGGTGGTTTAAGAATACAACTTTTTGTCGAAGCTGTGCAGGCCATGGACGCCACCCTCGGCTTGAGCGCTGACACTGCGCACTTCAAACCTAACTGAGCCACTGGCGACACCATCATGAAGCTCTTGCAGACTCTTAACTCCGATATCCTGCAGGGAGTGCTGGATACCGGCCATTAGGTATGGCACGAACTTGGTGACAGAGCCGCGATCCAACACTGAACCCGAAACGCCCTGGGCAACGAGAAGTCTGTCCGATTCAGAAAAGTATCTCGCAGTGCCGGCATTGCTTGCTTTACCGTCTTGGCCGACTCCAGCCTTTTTATCTTCCATGGCATCGATGCTTCCCATTCCCCGGTACGCCTTGACGAGCTGGCCTTCTCTGCTGACAAAGTAGGCACCGGGGGATTCGGTGGTACCAGCCAAGAGCCCACCCATCATAACAGTGGTGGCTCCCATCGCCAAGCCTTTGACAATATGGCCAATATTTTGGATACCACCATCCGCAATGCAGGGGACTCCGAAACGCGCGGCGAATTGGGATACACTGCGCACAGCTGCGGCTTGGGGCCTTCCCACTGCCATAACTTCTTGCGTGATGCAGGCACTTCCGCTGCCCATGCCAATGCGGAGACCATCTGCGCCTACGGCAATAAGAGCAGCCGCTTGATCCCTGGTGACAACGTTGCCAGCAATGACGTCAAGTTCGGGGTAGGTTTCTTTTATGTATTTGATCATCTCGATCTGATACATACTGTTGCCCTGGCTGCTATCCAAAATGACAATGTCAAGACCAGCATCTACCAATTTTTGGAGTCTGTCCTTGTCTTCGGGACGGGTGCCAATCGCGGCTGCGCAGATAAGTTGCTTGGACTGTGGCAGCTTGGAAGCAAGCGGATAGTGAAGATTCTTCATGAGATCGGACCTTGAAAGTAGGGAAACGAGGTTACCCTCGCTGTCGACAATAGGAAGTTTTCCTTTCTTGGAGCTTCGTAGGACCTCATTTGCTTCAGCGAGGGTGGTTCCTGAAGGTGCGGTAACAAGGTCCGTAGTCATGACAGCCGTGACAGGGTCATCACCAACGGGATGAAACTGGATGTCTCTGCTGGTAATCATTCCAACCAATTTGGAAAGGAGAGTTCCATTTTCTGGGCCACGAAACGCTAGTCAGCATATTCCGCCATAAGATCAATTTAAAAATAAAATGAGGATCAAAACCAAGCCTCAGACAAAAAATCCGGTCTCTCCATAGCAGCTTTCGCGGCTGCAGATGAACGAAAGTTATAGAATAAAGATTGAAAACATCATTGCAAGCGTAAACGAGGTACCACAGCAGAAATAGGAAACAGTAACTAACCTGTCACTGGGAATCCGCCAAATCCCCATTTCTCCTTCAGCGCTTTGGCCTCTGCCACCGTTGTCGTCGGGGAGATAACGACAGGTTCCAAGATGAAGCCGTTTTCATATCGCTTGACCTTTCTTACCATATTTGCTTGATCGTCTGCAGAACAATTGTGATGGATCACGCCAAGTCCACCGAGAAGAGCCATATGGATTGCCATCGAGTGCTCGGTGACTGTGTCCATGGGCGACGACAGCAGGGGAGCTTTTAAGCTGATTCGCTTCGTGACACGGGTTTCGAGAGATACGTCAGATGCGGGGAATCCTATTAAATAGCCGGTCAATTGTGTCTTCTCCACATACAATTCTTGTGAAGGTTATTCGAACCAATGTATCCAGGAAGGATGAGGAAATCATTGTAGGTCAGTGCTCCTCTCTTTTCGGAATCCAGCAGTTGATTGATGTCCAGGCCATCACCGGCATAATCGTTCTTGAGGACTTCCAGCGCTGTGGCAGGGTCTAGGAACTTTGAATCACCCGAGACATGCTCAAGGGCGTTCCCCGACGCATTTCCATTGGAAATTGGCATGGTGAAAATTGAAAAGGGACGATGGAAAATAAGGAAGGAGAAACGGCAATTTGCTAGATAGCAAACGGAGACACAGGCAGAAACAGAATAGAAAATACCAACAACAGAGGTTCAAACAAACGTTCTGTTGATGGGGAGAAATCGTCTTTCCCAAAGAAGAGAAAGAGAAGAAGAAAAAGAAAAAGAAGAAAAAAACCCGAGAGAAGATTTTGATAAGTTTCTTCCACGGTGGGCGCTTCTCGCGCGCTAGCACCAACTGGGCATGGCTGAACCTACTGCGTAAGCCGATAAGCGCCGCTATCATCAGGTGATCTGCAGCAGCCACCTTGCCGTTTTGGGAACTTTGTTTTGGTCCGGCAAAGGTGGGGATGGATGGGATGGGATGCAAACAACAAGCCTTCGCGGTGCAAGGGAAGCTCAACCTAGTGATTTCGTCTTGCAACAAGATAGACGCAAGCCTAAATATACTATCCCATACACACCACAGTACGTTTCTTCAGCGTCTTTGCTTTTCTGTTGTAACCAGAGCTGACAGGAGGTTTGCAGAGGAGTTCTTCGATTTGCCTAGCTGTGTTGTCTGTGCATTGCGTTAGTTGTCTGCGCTACTCTGAATCATTGGGTGGCACAGCCGAACAGCCCTTGGAGAGAACAATTTACATTTCCTTTTTTATCACTTTTCCGGCATGCGCGCAGTTGAACGCTGGACACTCTCTTGTCTCATCGAGCTAGCCTTTCTTCTCTTCTCTTGACCTGCCATCGTGATGTCGAACCTCCACCCCTTCAGACGGTCTCAACCAGAACTACCAACAAATCCTCCCAGCCCGCTTCGTCATGGCTCGACCGCATCAACCAATTCCTCTGTTTATTCCTCCTACTCAAACTCCTTTGTTCCTAGCCGTACAAGTACCGTGTCCTCGAACTCCTCTGGCGGATTCATCTCAGATTCGAATGCTCAAAAGGGAAGGGTGAGCAGAATTGGGGAAAGGTTTGAACGAGCCTCCACGCCACCAAGTGCTAGCGAGACCTATGGAAACATTCGTCTTTCTTTGCGCCCACTCCCACAGGCACCCAATCGCGCATCTCCTCCGCCAGAACGGGTCAGTCGACAGCGAAGCCAGACAGTGACCACCGCGACATTTCAACATGACAGTATACCGAGCGGAAAAGTTGCCAAGATTGAGACTTATGACGGTGGCGATAGTATGCGACTACAGGAAAACACCGATAGCGCGGAACGGGAATATTCGCCCTCCATCCGACGACAGCATATCCGCACACAATCCACCCCGCATGCTCCAGCCTTACCGACCGCATTTACAGCCCCAGAGCTTGAAACCTTTCAAAAGTCTTCCACTCGACATTTGCGGACTCTTTCGAGACTTGCGCAAACCGAAAGCGAAGATTTTTCCATAGCATCCGTCATTCCCTCAGTTGCTGGTTTGCAGGGTCGCCGTCGGCTTAAGCGTGCAGACTCCATTCGGGCGTCAAAATCTCCAGCGAGTCCTCAGAAAGGTAGAGCATCCGCATGGGCAGAAAGCAGCTGGATTGACAAACAACGACAGTTTATACAAGCTTACGAGTATCTATGCCATATTGGAGAAGCTAAGGAATGGATTGAAGATGTTATTCACAAGTCTATCCCCCCCATCGTCCAGCTTGAAGAGGCTCTTCGGGATGGAGTCACACTCGCCGAATTGGTGCAGGCCTTGTATCCGCACCGCACTTTCCGTATATTCAGACACCCTAAACTGCAATACCGCCATTCTGATAATATTGCTCTCTTTTTCCAGCTTCTTAAGGAGATCGAACTCCCGGATTTATTTTGGTTTGAGCTGATCGACTTGTACGAAAAGAAAAACATTCCCAAAGTGATACATTGTATCCATGCCTTGTCTTGGCTACTATATAAAAAGGGGATCGTTAACTTCCGCATCGGGAATTTGGTTGGTCAACTGGAGTTCGAACATCATGAATTGGAACAAGTTCAGAAAGGTCTAGACACGTCAGGGGTTCCTATGCCCAGTTTCTCTGGTATGGGGGCAAGCTTTGGCGCGGAACCCGAGCCGGAACCGGAACCAGAGCCAGAGCCGGTCGAATCGGAGAAGGATAGGATTGATAGAGAGCTCCATGAGAACGAAGTCATTATTTCAGACCTTCAATCTCAAGCAAGAGGAGCTCTTGTGCGTCTGAGGCTTGGGAACGTAATGCAGGAGTTGTGGGATAACGAAAGTGCATTGATCGACCTACAGTCAAGGATACGAGGAGAGTGGTCCAGGGAAATAGTGGGTTACCGATTGAGCATGCGACGGTTTGCTGTAAATTTGCAATCATCGGCACGCGGATTCTTGGTTCGAATGAGATCTCAACACAGCAAACAATGCTGGAAAGAGAACGAGGCAGGCATCCTGATGCTTCAAAGCCTTGTTCGTGCTAAGAGTCTCCGTTCGCATGTTCAATTATTGAGAACTAGAGCAAGAAAGGAGGAGTCTGGAATTAAACAAATCCAAGCAGCCATCAGAGGAGCCTTGGCTAGGGGCCAAGTATACGACCAGTACGAGCAAAGCAAAGATGCCGAAGTCGAAGTCCAATCCCTCCAGGCCGCTATTCGAGGCATGTTGAAACGACACAGTGTTTCTCAAGATAGATTGGCCCTAGAAACTGGAACTCCCGCTATAACAGTGCTACAATCTGTCATTAGAGGCCTTATGAAGAGAAAGTCTTACGATTCCCAGAAGTTGCAGCTGGCGAAAATGAGCCATCAGTGGATTACTCTCCAGTCCATTGTTCGAGGATCTGCTGCCAGAGGAAGCTTTCAGGTTCTTCGAACTGGGCTGAAAGCCCAACTACCATCAATTATTGAAGTTCAAAGTGCCCTCCGCGGCGCTTCTCTGCGTACATCGGTTGAAGAAACTAAAAATTCACTCCGTGATAACGAGAAAAATATTCTTACTCTTCAATCTTTGTCTCGAGGACTCCTTCTGCGGAAGCGTCAGCTACTCGATCGAAATTCTCTCTTGCAGCAGAATTCTGTAATTGCCAAACTACAAGCTCTTTCGCGAGCTGCTATGCTGAGAATAGAAATCGGAAACTTCCTCTGTGAGCTCGAAAGGTCAAGTGAAGAGGTTGCTCAGCTCCAGGCCCTTATTCGTGCGATGTTCGTCAGGCTAGATGTTGGCCAGGCCTTGGCAGAACTGGAGGCGGAAGAAGATATGATAGTGGACTTTCAGTCCAACACCAGGGGCCTTCTTATACGACAGAAATTTGCGGAGAAACAGCGCTTCTATCGGGAGAATATGGATAAAGTTATAAAGGTTCAAAGCTTTGTGAGAGCCAAGATCCAGGGAGAAGCTTACAAGAGCTTGACCAGCGGAAAGAATCCTCCGGTTGGCACCATCAAAGGCTTTGTCCATTTGCTTAACGATAGCGATTTTGATTTCGATGAAGAAATTGAATTTGAACGTCTACGGAAAACAGTCGTGCAACATGTGCGACAGAATGAAATGGCCGACCAGTACATAACGCAATTGGATATCAAGATTGCCCTTCTCGTGAAAAATAAGATCACGCTCGACGAAGTCGTGAAACACCAAAAACATTTTGGTGGCCACGTCGGAGCTCTACTACCTAATAGCGACCTATCGTCTAAAGATCCATTTGACCTGAAAGCCTTGAATAAGACATCTCGACGGAAACTAGAGCAGTATCAGGAACTCTTCTTCGTTCTTCAAACGCAGCCGCAATATCTTGCTAGACTTTTTAGACGCATAAGGGAGCAGGCTACCCCAGAAAAGGAATGCGAGCGAATCAAGCATCTGGTTATGGGATTATTCGGTTACTCCCAGAAGAGGCGCGAAGAATACTACCTAATAAAGCTCCTTGTCAGGTCTGCGAAGGAGGAGATCGATCATTCATTTTCACTTCAAGACTACATACGGTGCAATGCTTTCTGGAACAAATTATTCGCTGCGTATACGAAGTCCCCGAAGGATCGGAAATTCATGCGGGATATTCTGGGTCATCTAGTGAAGGAGCATATTATCGAAAACACCGAACTTGACTTGGAGAGCGACCCTATGCAGATCTACCGCTCCACCATCAGGAACGAGGAGCTGCGCACTGGCAGGAAGAGCAGACGCCGAATAGACGTTCCTAAAGAAGAGGCGATTAGGGACCCTGAAACGAGAGAGACATTTGTTCGCCATTTGCAAGACCTACGTGACATTGCAGACCAGTTTTTTACATCGCTCGAAGAATTCTTACCTCGCATGCCGTTCGGAGTGCGATTTGTTTCACAGCAAGTTTATGAACATCTTTTGTCTAGATTCGAGAATGAGGATCATGGATACCTCCTGCAGGTTACTGGCCAGTGGGTTTGGAAAAACTATTTGCGTCCGGCGATAATGGAACCAGAAAGATGTGGTGTGGTAGATCGTGGTTTAAATCAGGAGCAGAAGCGAAACCTGGGAGAAATCGACAAAGTAATAGCGCAGGTAGCATCAGGCCGTCTCTTTGGTAACGAAAACGTGTATCTCCAGCCCCTGAATACTTGGGTTGAGAAGGCGATCCAGCGGTTAGGAGCTATATGGGGTAATTGTGCGTACCGCCCTGTCTTCTTCTCGCTGGGAATTTTCGTACTAACAGTCGAGGATAGTGGTTACCGTGCAAGATGCGGAGTCCTATTTTGATATCGATGCCTTCAACGACCTATACGCCAAAACGAAACCAACACTTTATATAAAACTTTCTGACATATTCTCGATCCATCAGCTTGTTGCTGCGGAGATATCCACTATATGCGTCGACCAGGATGATGTGATCAAGGAAGCCGTTCGAGATCTGGGCAGTGTCAAGAGCAATGAAAATGAGTTCATGAGCGTGAGCTCCTCCGAAATTAGCTTGACATTAACGCCCAAACTGCACAATGTCGAAGGTAGGTTTTGTTTTTTCAACATACTGAATTACTTTGGGATTTTTACTTACTGCGCATAATCCAGACCCCGATGCTGAAACAAAAGCCCTCTTTATGGAAACAAAACGATGTATTCTGTATATCATCCGCGTCCAATCCGCTGCAAATCTAATGGAAATCATGGTCAAACCGCCCACGGAAGAAGATGAGGAGCGCTGGTACGCGCTCGTTCGGGACGAGTTATCCTCAAGTAGTCGCAAACGCGGCGCATATTCGGACGCAAACTCCCTAATTGACATAGGATCCATGAGCTATCAGGATCTAAAGAGCACCGCGTTAGAGAACATCCTTCGCCTGGAACAAGCTGGACGTATAACACGGCAAAACAATTACCAGGACCTTCTGAATGCAATCGCAGTCGATATTCGGACAAAACATCGTCGGAGAATACAGCGCCAGCGAGAGCTGGAAAGCGTCCGACTTACTCTTGAGCGATTGAACGATCAAAGTGTATACTTGGAGCAGCAACTGAAGACTTATAACGACTACATCGAACAAGCCATGATAACTCTGCAGAATAAGAAAGGGAAGAAGCGATTCCTGATGCCATTCACTAAACAATGGGATCATGAGCGTGAATTACAACGATCCGGTCGCGTTTTCAAGTTCGGCTCATTTAAATATTCGGCCCGAAATCTCTCTGAGAAAGGCGTCCTTGTATACTGGAAAGGATATAACGAGCGACAATGGGACCGAGTTGACCTTACGATTTCTAGCAACCAAGTTGGGCTTTTCACTGTCGATGGAAGTAGTGGCAATATGATGATTCCCGGCGCCAACGCCCAGGTTCCGCTAAACGATCTCCTCGAGGCGCAATTCGACAATACGCAGTTCATGGACTTTTTCGAGGGGGCATTGCGGGTGAATGTCAAGATGTTTTTGCATTTGATTATGAGGAAATTTTGCACTGAGTGAAATGCATTGATGTGGTCGTTTTTCTTAAGTTCTTTTCGTTCTTCGATCTTCTTCTCTTTTTTGTTTCTTTTGTAAGTTTCTGGTTTTATGTTTATGTGATATTGATACACCACGGACGAATATTTTGCAGCTGATTGCACTGATACGAATTTTTATAAGGGGGCCGGGGTTGTTGTTTCTGAGATATATCCCTTTATCGTTCTTCGCTTGTTATCCAGCTCTTCTTTTCTCTCGCTCTTTTCCTTTGGAATCAATTTTCTATTACCCGACCCAGATAACAGACCGTTATATTCCTACATGACCACATTTTTGCGCCTCTGCCTCCCTGGTCTCCCCTCCAGCATATATACATTGGAAGCATGTGAACAGATTCTGGAGTCGAGGAAAAGAAAAGGCTGTCTTTAATATTGTACCCTTTACATATCCTTTCGTTATGCGCCCAGAGATCTGACTTACCTTTTATTATTTTGTTTTACCCCTTTTATTGATTTATCTTTTTCGGGCGATTGGAGCGGGACTTGGTGGTTTCTGCTGTGAGATTAGCTCTTTTGCTTCTATCTGGCGTTCATTAGTTATATTACTTTTCTCTTCTGAATGTATTTATTACTTTAGTTATGAGATTTAGTAATGAAAAGAGGAAACTTTGTTGACTCGTTCAATTTGACACTTTATTACTGTTTTCTCTTCAGCTTTTTGTGACCCATTCACTGCACAAGTAGTTAAAGCTGCTGCCAGAAAGTATTGTCCACAAGCATCTCAAGTCTAAATGCATTATCGAACCTTGCCTTGGTCACTCACTGGCACTCTCGTTATTTAACACTGCCTGTAACACACATGTCAATTATCCTTCGTAGAGCTAATATTTTTTTGACGGTCTAAATAAGGCTGTTTTGACGCTAGCTGTATCGGGGCGATCGGGAAAACCTTCCCTCCGCGGATGTCATCCCTGCATGAGGCGCAAATAGGAAGGACGATGCGAGCTTGAATCGGCCACGCAGAACTATCCTCCACGTCCCTTGATAACCCCAACGCCAACTCTTCAACTCCGACGTCTTCATCTCACCCCTCTCCTCCCCGCTACTCTCGCTGTGTACGACTCCAGCTGGCCGGTGTGGCCATTCACTCCTAACTCCGCCTTTACCGTATCCGCGTAGTTGTATTGACTGCGAAGTAAACCAATCTTAAACCCGCGTTCCCCTATTAGTCGGCCCCGACTTGTCCTCCGCTTTACTTCCGGATTCGCGCAAACGAATTTACACTTACACAATGGATTTCAGCTCCCTAAAGGATCAGGTCAGCAATTTAACGCTGTACGATATCAAAGCTGGCGTTAGAAAGGTGCAGAATGGTACGTTTCTACTGCTACCCTGTCCCCTTTCTCACCCGGGTGATTTCGCCGTATATTGGTTTCCCTCTGGATCTACCTTGTGTGGTACTGTTTCGTATAGTGGTTTGATTTGACTAATTCTTAACTGTTCTTTTAAATATGATTAGCCGTGATGAATTATACCGAGATGGAGGCGAAGGTCAGTCTTTGGTCTAGCTAATATAAACCTGCGCGGCCGTGAACATACATCTTTTCTTTTCTACACGACTCACTCCTCTTTGATATACAATCTCCTTACTTGAATGGATACAGGTTCGAGAAGCTACGAATAATGAGCCTTGGGGCGCCTCCTCTACGCTTATGCAGGAGATAGCAAACGCAACACATAGCTAGTTAGTGCCCGCTTGTCCCCATTCCTTACGGCTAAATTGCGGAGTTGATGATCTAACTCTTTGTCATTTGTGTTATTAGTCAATTGCTCAACGAAATTATGCCCATGATATATAAACGGTTTACGGAAAAGACTGCAGAGGAGTGGCGGCAAATTTATAAAGTATTCCACCCCCCCCACCCCCCCTCCCAATATTTATTTTGGAAGCTATCACACTGGAATGCATCTGACAATTTTTCCATTTCTAGGCCCTTCAACTCCTTGAATTTCTCGTTAAGAATGGTTCAGAGCGGGTTATCGACGATGCCCGTTCTCACGTTTCCCTCCTCCGGATGCTCCGTCAATTTCATTATATTGATCAGAATGGAAAAGATCAAGGTATAAACGTACGCAACCGAGCTCAAGAGTTGGCAAAACTTTTGAGTGATGTCGATGCGATCCGTGCAGAGAGAAAGAAGGCGAGGGCCAATCGAAATAAATTTGGAGGTATTGAGGGTGGAATGGGTTTGAGTTCATTCGGAAGTGGTTCCCGATATGGTGGGTTTGGGAGTGATGAAGCCTCATATGGTGGTTATAGCGGAGGAGTGTATGGGGACGGAGGCGGATTTGGTGGAAGCACCGGAGGCTACGAAGACAGTGGAAGAAGAAGCAATCGCTTCGAAGAATATGATGAAGGCGATGACGGTACTCCTGCTGCGCGTAAGCAAACCACGTCCTCCGCTGGCCCTACTCGGCGAGAAACGAAAAAGCCCGAACCGGCAAAGGAGCCGGAAGCCCTGTTTTCCTACAATAGTGAAGAGCGTATCTCAGACCCATCAGTTTCTGAGCCACCAAATGCGTTATTCAGCGTCTACGAAAGCTCGTCTGCTAGCTCTCAAAAAAACAAGATCGTCACCCAAAACAATGGAGATGATGATGACTTCGATGATTTCCAGTCTGCTCCTTCTTCTGCGCAAGCTGCGCCATCCCAACCACAGTTTTCTTCTATTCCTCCTCCAAACCTGGCCGCTACGACAACATCGTCAGTCACACAATATGCCGCGCCAACGCCCGTATCGGGTACACAGGGTCAAAACCTGAACGGCCTTGTTGGGTTTACCTCGCCATCGCCAAGCAACGTTTCCGTCGCATCTACCCAGTACCCAAGCCTTAACGGCGCCGGTAAATCAGCTTCAATGCAGCCACAACAATCACCAAAGCCAGCAGGATACCAAGCCATACAACCAAACTACTTCACCTCCGTCCCAGCACCACAACAGCCAACCTCCCAAACCCATGCCAAAACTCCACTCTCATCCCTCACTCCTACCTTGTCCGGCACCACAAAGCCGGCCGCGAGTACACCCACAAAAGCTAGTGGAGATGCATTCGGTAGTCTATGGACTACCGCGAGTACCAACGCTGGACTCAAGACAGCTACCTCGACACAGTCCAGGGGCCCTAATCTCGCCAGTATGGCAAAGGAGAAAACAAGTGCAAGCATATGGGGGGCACCTGCCACCCCTTCTGCTTCTAGCGCGAGCATGGGAAGCGGCAAACCACCAGCTACGAAGCCACAGAGCAGCGGGAATGAGTTGGATGGTCTGTTTGGATGAGATAATTTTTGGACAGATCTGTTGAAATGGGGGGCGATTTGCGTTTGCTAGGGTGTGAAGAGGTACGGAGGAAGGATGAAAAGGGAGGTGAAATTTATCTGGGGGTGTTTCAAACTAAACTGATATTGAACAGATGTGCGTGGATTTTTTGCTTTTTTCTTTTTTGAATTTTAGTAGAGAGCGAACTGGCCTTACTTGAGCGGACAGAACCCTTACCTACCTCCCTACTTCCTTACCTGTTCTATTCTGTTCTATTCCAATTTACTAATTCATAGTTGTCTTCGCTTTCTATTCTATGTTTCAAGCGGTGCCCAATATAACCATGGATGGATATATCACTAACATGAATTTTATTTGCCTTTCGACCAGCTTGTTTAAAATATTCCCCTACAATTTGTCCGCTACTTAAACCTACAAGTTGTCAAGGCTATTTATTTATTTTCCATCGCACGATCATCATTATTTAAGGAGTTAGGTACCTCAATTTTTTTTTTTTTTTTGGGGGGGGGGGGGGGGGGGGGGAAGAAGGAAGGGGAAAGGTTGGAATGTCATAAAAGCTTCCGCTTAAAAGGGCCAAAAAAGTTAAAAAAAAGAAAGGTTGGAAGATTTAGTTACTTTTTCCTGGCATGGGACAGCTTTAGCAGGGGATACCATACCGCTTGATCCTGATTTGAATTGGATTTGACTCCCCGCCCAAAAAAAAAAAAAAAAAAAAAAAA